CCCATCAGCAATCATGATTTCATGATCGCAAAACCCCAGAGGCTCTACTTTGCCGCCTTTTTCTTGGCAGCCGCACGCTTAGGAGCCGCCTCCTGAGCTGTATCACCTTTCTTCGAAGGTTTGCCACCTTTGCCACCTTTGGCAGTCGTACCAGTGAGCACAGTCCTGGGCAGGTTTCAGGTTATGGGTTTATGGGTTGGCTAATGTGAGGGAATATTTCTATAGCTGAGGGCAGGTCTGTCGGATCTTCTTTTCCTCCATGACCATACGGGAAACCCTGAGGCACACACTATGTTCGGGATCGAAAGGTTTGGAAGAAAGTTTGATCATGTCATTAGAATTGCTGAGCACGAAACAACTTGTTCACGGAAGCCACCAAGGCGGCCAGCTTCCTGAGAACGGGGAGCGCAATTCATTGGAGGACTGCCCCGACATTACATGTGACATGCTGCAGAGCCGCTTTCCATCAATTCTTTCATCAGAATCATGGGCCGACTTGATGTCGGCAATAGCATCGTGCTTCTGATCCAGATCCAACATTTGCTTCTCCAACTTGTCAGCATGCCTCAGCTGTGGCAAGCCATACATCCCAAGCTAAAGCTTGCGCACGCCCGCATAGGACCAGCCCCTATAGGATGAGAATAGCCTGTATACACTGTGTTGTATGGGGAATGCTCACAATAACTTGTCCGAAAAGAACATTGCTAAAATTATATAGAGCTCAATAATTAGGACCAACTATATAGGGCGGGATTTTCAAATGGGGTGTGTATGTTTAGGAGGGGTTTATATAGGGTATATAAGTACCTTGGTGAATTACATAATGCCCCTATACATGATAACTCCTTCTATATAATCACAATCTAAAGCCATAACCCAAAACCCTTTTAACACATTTCTAAATTCGCTAGAACACTCAGTGGCTCCCACCTCCTTACAGCGCTTGTACACTTGGGCCGATTTTTTCTGCTGCTTCAGGATCTCATCAAGAACTTGGGGTACACCATCCATGTCCTGGAGCGAGAGGCGTATACAGTCCAAGGGAAATTGGGGCTTCATGAGTTCAACAAATGGTATGGGGAGTTCTGGGGGTTACAATAGAAATGCAATCACTATAGGGCCTCATCCGGTGTCTCCTCCTCTAGCTCATCTCGCTTGCGCTTGGATTTTCTACCCTTTGCCTTTGGCTTGCCGCGTGACTTCTTCGGCTTTGGCGACTCATCTTCTGAGTTCCCCGAATCCTGCCCATCTTTTGATGAGCTCGCACCGTCACCATCATCATCATCATCAGCGGCATCGTCGTCACTGATATCCTCATCATCCTCACTTGTGTCGGAGGGCGGCGCGGCGCCGCCCCTTCTTGTTTCCCCCCTTGCAAGTCCCAAGGGCACCTTTGTTGTGGCGCCCTCCCCAAGATCCGTCTCTCGCCTCATGGTTTCCTTGTCCTCCTCTGTTCGGGTTCCCGTGTAGCTGATGTCCACATAATACCAAAGCAAGTTCTTCTCATACTTGTCTTTCCTAAGTGGCAAATATAATGAGTATACTGCACTCACAATGTTGAAAGATTCTTCCTTCAGAAAACTAAGATGCGCACAGAGTGTGGGTCTTTCTGTTCTTCTTCTTGAGACAGAACTTGCGAATTGCCTTTCGCCTTTCCCTGACACATTCATACACATTCAGGGTTGAAAATCAGCATGCTGAAGCATGTGCTGCCAAATGGCTTTGAGAACTTCAATTGGTCGATCATCATCTGGTCCGTATAGAACCCGCTTCCGACTTCGAACTTGTTGGAACGGCTT